AGCGAAAAATAAAATAAAATTCACCTAACGAGGACTAATGAATGTCGCGGCTCGGTTGTCTCTGGGCGCGAGCAATACGCAGGGCAAATTTATGTAATTTAGGTTAGCATTGTTAAACCAGGTGCTCAATGTTTTGTGCATCATCCATCAGTAGGCGAATTTGAGCGTTGACTTCCGAAATTCACTTTTACACATCATGAAAGATAGCAACGAGGGGTCTCAAAAATGTTGTCACTGAATGAGGCAGAGTGGAAAATGATTATTTCAGGATATTTCGATTTGGCTTTAGGATAAGCTGAAGCTACGAGTCACGACGCATACAAAATTCTGATTTAAGTAGGCGGATTTTTCATGGCCTTTTGTCAGGTAGAGTATCCATTTTTCATGAGCTGAGTCCCAGTAAAAAAATTCACACTTGAAGATTTTCAGGTCGTCAGAAGATTGCATCAGACCATCGCCGAAAGAATAACCTTTTCCAGGGACAATGTGAGGGTCAAGGGAGCGCTCTTAAGATGCTAACATCTTCGAAAGTAGCTCAGAGTTCTTAACCGAGTTCCGCGCGGTAGTTCATCCGATTGCACACAGATAGCGCTCCAGCTTCGCGGCACTTTGCATTCGTTTTAAAAACCGGCGTGAGAACTCGATATGCTAAAAATATCGTAAAAGGCCCGAAAGTGGCGGTGCCATTGAATTTCGCGGACCGTTCCGCCGATTTATTCGGGGTCACCGATGCCCGGTGAAAGGGGCGCCGATAAGCCCCCAGCAAATCGAACGATCGATCGCCGACCCCGATCGATAGATCCCTATCATAGGCATGCTATCTATCGAAGTTCGAGCTCTCGCGTCGGCGACTCACGTGGGCCCACGGAGCCGCGGCTCGTGAGCCGATCCGATAGTATCTGGCGGGAAACAGTTACTCGAGGCGACTCCAGTTGGGCGAGCATGGAGCTGAGAGCGGGGCCCCGACAAAGACCCAATACTGCCGTGCTAAGGAAAAACGCCGTATGAGCCTTCAGGCGTTGCCAAATTTGCCCGGGCAAATCGCTAATTTTCAGGAAAATTTGTGAATATTTGCCTACCAATTCTCAGATAATTTCGTTCGCAATTTCACCTAACGTCCCTGAAAATTTCGAGGAAGAATATTCAAAACTTTCCTCAGAAATAAACGTTTTATCGAAGGAAATTTGGCAACTCTCGAATGTTCATACGGCGTTCTTCCTCAGCACGGCGGAATATCCGATGCGCTCATGCGACGCTTGCATACGGCGCCCGGGAAACACGTGCAAAATAGTGACACCCGGGGAAATAACTCATGGAATCAGTGGCGTGGCGCGCTTTGCGATAGATCGACTGATATGCCGTTTAAACCCGCGGAAAAGGATCGATAAGCAGGGTGTTCGCAACGAACGCCTTAGTAATCGATTCTTTACCATAGCTTCAAATGGGGAAATATCGACAGTCGATTATCACGCCTCGCCATTATTGCTCGTGAAATGTAAAGTTGCCCGGGATGCGGGACGCTGGACCTCGCGCCGCGGTTCGCGCCGGAATGGGTCAGTTCGTCGTTTCCAGGACGAAGGGACGTAACTCCATTTCAACGTTGCCAAATCGACTCGAACAATTAAATTTTTTACAACCTGTGCAAAAGTCGTTGAATTTTCGATTTTTACACGAGATCGGAAGAAAACCAGCGTATTCCCAATATTCTTCGATTGGATTCAGGTTCCGTTACAATATGACCAGGGTTAAGTAGGTATCGTTAGTTGAATCAGATAGGAGCACTACATGGAGCACTAGCAATAATACAATATAATAATAATGTTATACTAAATATGGTCTACTAGCAAAAGGTCACGGAACTTTGCGCGAAAGTCAAGTTTCGTAAACCTATCTCTAATGGACAAAGCCTTCCATTCATAAGAAATGAGCAAAAAAATTATGACAAAACAAACACAAAATTTGGTTTAATGATTTTAACTTCCGCCTCCGCGCCGCGCCGACCGCACCGTGTTCCAGGCCAAATTGTGTGTTTGGTTCCTCTCTTAACTCGACTAATTAAAGGTGCTATCTCTTGTATCACTGAAAGACGACAAAATTAGAAATTACTATACTCTCAGGAAATGAGAGATTTTGTAGCCTTTTCTAGTTTGTAATTTTTTTTTTTTTAAAATCCGATTTTTTTTATTACCTACATATGAAAAAATTACAAAATTTGCCGCCCCCTATATTTGCCGCCATGGGCCGCGGCCTATGTGGCCAGCTCCTTAATCCGGCCCTGGACGCGGGACAGAAATGGGACTACTTAGCGTCAAAGGGCACTGCGAGACGCTCGGGTGAGTTGGGAGTCGGACGCGGTGGATATAAGGTCCGTTTTCCCGGAGCAGGAGCCTCGTATTCAGATGCGAGCGCGGTCGGCCAATGGGAATCGCCGACCGGCGAACCGCGGTCACTCCAAGGTCCGACTCGCGCATCAGATAGAGCGCCCACTGCGCCCACCGCGCCCACGCTATCTGGCCTCTGGACGCTGCACTACGCCCCCCCCCCCCCCCC